TCTCATTGCTCCACATAAAAGATGTGGTATGCCCTTCAGTGTTAATTTCTTAGTGCGATAAAGTTTTGCCTCATGACTTGGGGTTCATCGTCTCGGGGTTGATGCTCAGGAAAACCCCAGCTCCTCATGTCGGGCTCCATGTGCTACCTTCATATGCACGACCACGACCGATTGGAGGGCTTGACCAAGTGATGTTACTCGATCATGGTGACTTTTGGCATCCATTTAAGTGACACAGACTTCATCCTCATTTGTTCATGAAGACGCTACCTCTCGCCCATCTTATTCTTCGAATTTGTCGTGGCTTGATAGTTTGGGGGGAGAGAAAGCAATTAATGTCATTATGAAGATTATTTGTGTCATGAAAGTTGGTTCCAAGATAAAATGTAATTAATGAAATTAATGTTGCTTCAAGAATAAATTACAATTAATGTAATCAATATTTTTTTAAATCAATTGCAATTGATGTAATTATTATTGTTTTCAATTTAGCACGATGCCATGGACAGTTGGATACATCATCAGAGACATTCTCGTCGACCACGAGGCGTCTGATGATTTTGTCAATCCTAAGATGCGATGCCGGCTCAGTATCTCGAGAATGCTCATAGGGATAAGACGTGTGACCGCGTGCGTTGTTAGAGGTGAGTATATATGTACATAGGCGTCTGCGATTGTACTGGCGCGGGGTGTTGAATATAAGCACACCGACGTACTTCAGTTGTAAGTAGACACCGGTGGTAGAGGCAGACGAAGTGCTGAGATAATGGTATAGTAACTATTTTCTGTTGATTTTAAATAAAATGGATGGGTTGACTTTGACGCACACCGACGCACGACCGCCGCGGGCCCTTATTTTGTTTGGGTCCGCCACCGTCCAAACCGCGAAGACGAAAACGACCCACACTATATCCGGACCGAATCTTGGATGCAGCCACAAGCCCACAAGCAACGAATCCTGAACCCTTCCCGCACGACCCTGCACTGTCTCGTGCCGCCCACCCGCGCCGCACCTGCACTGTCCCTTCGCCCGGTTTCCCTCCGGTTTGCCTCCCCTGCTCCCGGCTCACGCGACGGCCCTATCCCCCAGCGACACGCCGAGCCCAGGCTCAGCGGCGTCCCGTGCGCCGGGTCCACACCAGGGCAGCACCCGCCGCGAAGCTTCCTCCTCTCCTCTCCTCTCCCGAGTTGCACAAAGCATAAAGAAGCTCGCCGTGTCGGCAAACCGGAGGTTGCGGCCGCCCGACGACACACACCACCACCGACCAGCGCAACGCAACAATCTCCAAAGTCCAAACCCCAAACTGCACTCCACTCACTCCACACGCGCGCGCGCGCGCACGATCGTCTCGTCGGCCAGCCAGAGAAAGAAGATGCAGCAGGGGAGGACGAGGAGCCGCCCGCGCATCGCCGGCGCCCGGCCGGGGCCCTCCTCCTCGCCGTCGCGGCGTGGCGGGAGCAGCGGCGGCGAGGGCGCCGGACGGGGGCTCCGGCTGCACCGGCTGCCGGTGCAGCTGGCGCAGGGGCCGCGGCCGCGGAGGCGGGCCGACGGGAAGAGGGCGCTCTGGTGGCGCGACGACGCCCGCGTCCACCCCGTGACCCATCCGCCTTCCCCGCCGCCGCCGCCGCCGCTCGACCGCCCGCACACCTGCTACGACGTCCTCGCGCCGGACTCCCCCTTCGCCTCCTCCTCCCTGCTGCTGCTGCCGCCCGATCGTCGCACGCCATGGGAGGTACGGTACGGTCCGTGAACTGAGGAGCGCGCGCGCGCATTCATTTTAGTTCGCGGGGTGAACTGGATGGTTTTTCTCTGTATGTAGGAGGCCAAGGTGGTGGTGAACGTGACGGTGGAGGGGAGCCCGGGGCCGGTGAGGGCGATGGTGAGCCTCGGCTCCAGCATCCGGGACGCCATCGCCGCGGTGCTGGAGCGGTACCACCGGGAGGGGAGGAGCCCCCGGCTGGACCCGGCCTCCGCCGACTCCTTCCAGCTACATCACTCTCACTTCTCCCTCCAGAGTAAGCTAGCCATTCATCGTTTTTGACCTAATTTAATGGATATGCCATGCCAATTTGCCGATCAAATGGGGATTAATTAGTCTAGTTTTCTGGTGCTAAGGATGTGGTTGTTTGATTATGTTGCTTGTGACACAAACCATTTTCAAGTGCTGTCACTGTCACAGCAAGCGAAATAACTCGCGCCGGACTCCCCCTTCGTCGGATTATGTTGTTTGTGACACACAAACCATTCATGTGTACTGGGAGGGGATGTTTGAGTCGTCAGAAATTCAGAATATATTGCACCTGCCTATTTGGTTTACTCATTATTGTCTTGCTTGAAATTTATCTCTCCTACCACTTCCTTCTTTGAGGATTCAGTAATGTAATATAGGCCAATAGATTAGGATGTAGACAAACTTATTTGGTACTAGTTTTATGTAACGACTTCATTTTTTAGATCATCTATGCAAGGACTTCCAAAATTATTACTCTGATGAAAAGTCTGTGAACATAGGGTAGAGTATTTTAGCATAGGCGGCTAATGGTAACATCATTCAGAGAGCTTCTACACTCACAATTTAGTTGCTCAGTCCAAGCGAATAAAAACTATGAAATCAGCATTTCAAAATTTAACTTCGGTCGAGTGGACTAGTAACACCTTGAGTTTTCTTTTCTTGACAGGTTTAAACAAGAACGACAAGATGAGCGAAGTGGGCGGCAGAAATTTCTACCTGCACAAAAACGACGGAAGCAACGGGCTTGTACCTCACAGGGAACAGGAGGCGGGTGTGCATTCAGGTGGTGGTGAAACTACAGAGAGCCGTGGAGGGCAGCTTGCCGGTGTCCCATACCACCACCAGCTCCTCGCCATTGTCATGAAGAAGCTGGATAAAATCGGCAGGCGGACCAAGAGGATTTGGAGGCTCCTGACCTGTGACTGCACATGACTCTGATCCTGTGGATGTTGATGGTAGCCTAACAGCCATCGTATACTGTGACTGTCTGGTGTAGTAGGCTAGCACTAGTAAGTTAGGTTAGAATCGGTGCGCGGCGCTGGTGCTACTGCTATTGATTGATGATAAAGAAGGCACGCGGCGTGGTAACTAAGGTTATCCTCGTGTTGACGTGTTGATAGATTGGGTTGATCGGGTCAGGAAGTATAAGGTATAGAAAGAATTCCTTATTTAACATTGTGTATAAATTTTATGCCTTATTTGACATCGATAAATAGTTTTTTTTCTGTCTAACAACCAACGAGTCTAAAATTTATGCCTTTTATAACACTCATTATGTCCATTTTAAGTCTAAATGGCACCTAAAAAGACCCTTTTGCCGTCATGTGGTATGTTTGTGGGCATACGGCCTCACACTAATATTGCTGTGTGCTACTGTCCTCACACTAATGTTGCGTTTATGTTCTACTACACCGCGCACACACATACCATATTAAGGGCAAAAGGATCTTTTCAGGTGCCATTTAGGCTCAAAATGAACGAAGTGTCATAAAAGGCACAAATTTAGACTCGTTGTTAGATGAGGAATAAATAGTTTTTCAGTGTCAAATAAGGAAACGAAATTTAAGATAATGTTAAATAAAGAATTGTTCCTAAGGGATACAGTGGAGCACACGTACGCTTTGCAGCCCACACACACCACTCGTGATCTTACGACTTATCCTTGCATAAGCAATTAAGCACTAGTGATTGTGTGGCTGCAAGTGCAAGGTGCGCTCTCGACTAATATAAATCAATACAAACATATTCCCACCATCCAGAATTACTTGTCGCGAAAGTGAATAAAAATAGTTGTAACTAAAATACATTCAAATACATTCATTTCTCTGCTAAGTATTTTAGACGGAGGGAGTATTAGATTATTCATGACTCAAGGGTCAATGACAGCGTAGGTTACGGGTCATGTTGAGGAGAATTTTAGTTTATTTTCAAGATCAATGAGAAATTAAGCTAAACTGTAGGCAATAATCGATCGACGTTGGGACAATGGTTGTGTTGGACTGATGTGGAAACTAACCTATTAGGTAGGACTGCACATAATAAGAGTTGTTGTACCATTGTTTCAGGACCTCTCACGATGCAATAAGTATCATGATAAGATTCTTCTTGCTTGATTGTTGTCATGTTGATGGAGCCTAAGCTTATACTCCCTCGGTCGGAAAAGGATGTCGCCGTGGCAATTTTTCAAAAAAACCCTCCGCAAATTGTGCGCCTCTGCCGCGTTGCTTCCCCTTCCTCTGCTGCGTTGCTTCCCCGGCGAGGAGAAGGCTCGTTTTTTTTTTTGTGATATGCTCTCCGACTGACGCGTCCTTCCACGCTGGTGGCGAACCAGAGCTGGCCCTGACCATCGTCAACCTCGTGTACCCCGCCATCAACCTCGTCCACCTCGCTGTCAACCTCGTCCACGAAGCCGGTCCACACAGATCGACCGATGGGAGCCAGGAGGCTCATGGAGCTATACGAGCCGGATCCCGGCGATCGCCTCACGTAACACAACGGCACCATGCTCAGCGGCGACATCCCCGTGTCCATCCTCTGGTATGTGCAATACAACATCAAGACTGAATTTTTGTATCCTGCTGCTTTATAAAATTAGAGAAGATGCTCGATTTTTTGTATCCTGATGCTCAAGTTTTTGTAACCTGTAGATGCCATGCTCAATTTTTTGGTAAAGCTACTGGAGTTGCTAGCAAACTCTATTTTCATTCTTATTCTTACTGTCAAAATCCGGAGCAAATTCTAGTAATATTTGTATTGCCTGTGCTTGTGGTAATACTCCTAACCGAATATTTGTACTGTACTGAAAACTTCACTGAAACTAAATTCAGTTAACTCCATAGACACCTGCTTTTTTTTTGTTTAGAAGAAGGGACCCCTATCTCCAATATTTTAGGACAAAATACTCCTAGCCGTAGTCCCTCAACTAACTCTATTCTTCCTCCCCCAAGCCCCTTATTTTTTCAGATTCTTCTATGCTCAATGCAGAGATAAACACCCATGTCTGTAATAACCTTGCAACACAGTGGTATGGGAATTTTCAGTGAAGTCACTAATGGACAAGACAAGCCGGAACAAATCCTAATCTATCTCGTCTTTCCTAATAAACATTATACTCGGAAAAGGCCAGACGGAGGGGCTCCCCCTCCCTAGGGTTCCGCCCGCGCCACCGCCAGCTCCCCCGTCGCGGGTAGCCGCGGCCGCGGCCGGCGCCCGCCGCCGCTAGCCCTCCTCGACCCTGTCCACCTCCCTTCTCCCTCCCCTCCTCCACCGTACCCCCGTGTCGCCTCCCCGCCCTCCCCAGCGCCTCCCCCCTTCTCCCCCTCCCGCCGCCGCTGGCCTGGACCACCGGGCCTTGCTCGGGTGGTGCCGGCAGCGGCGGCCCCGTCCTTTCCCCCCGCGCAGCGCCACGGCTCGGGTGGCTGGCGGCTGGCGGCGGCGTGCTTCGGCGGCAGCGGACCCGGCAGCGGCGCGGCTCCTTGGGTGGCGCGGTGCCGGGTGGCGAGGTGGTGGCGGCGCTGCTGCTTGGCGGCGGGGCGTTGCAGTGGCTGGTGGTGATGCCCTCCCGACCCAGATCTGGGCCTTTTTGGGCCCCATCTGGGTCTGGGCGGGCCTGGCCGGAACTCCTCTGCGGCGTCTCCGGCGGACGGCGGGGCGACTCGTGCGGGGGGTAGCGGCGACGGCGGCTCGTATACTGCAGCGCGGTGACGAGGGCTTCACGAGCCCGTCTCGGGCTCAGCCAGCCTATCTGGGCCTTCTGTGCGGGGGCGAAACATGGTTTCGCGGGAGAGATGGAGCCGGCACAACGCCGGTCGTGGCCATGGGCCACTTCTCCACCTTCCCTTTCCCCCGGTCGATTTGGCCGCGGTTGCCTGGTTTGCCCCTGTTGCTACGTCCGGTCGGTTCCCGCCACGGGCGGTGGAGGTTGACTCCTCCTGCGTGGCTGCTGTTGTTGCCGCCCCTCGTTCCCGGTTGCCTTCTCTGTTCCCGCCGGTCTCGCTTCGTTTGCCACGGTGAAACGGCGATGGGAACTGCACGGCCGTGGTGGCGCATGTTGGTGGGCGGCGTGTTTGGTGGCGCACGATGGATCGTCTGGAGTCGTGGGTGGTTGGTGGTCCGGAGAAATCCGTGTCGGCTTGTCCGGCACCGACGCGGTGACGTCTGTGGGCGTCGCCATGCCTTCCTGAAGGGCGTCGGGTTTGCCCCTTCCCCCGCAATCCTTTACATACCGGGGGAAACCCTAGGACTTGTCCGGGCACCAGCATCGTCGGCGTCGCGGTCCTTCTTAAAGGTGTTGCTTGGTATGCGGTGGTCCGGAGTGCTCGGAGTGTGGTGGAGTTCTCCGGTGGGCGCAGCGGTTGTGGGTCTTTATCGTTTTCGTTAATCCGTCGTTGTTCGCATTTGTTTCTTTTTTGTTTTCTCTTTCATTTCTTTTGGGCGTGACTATGCTTTCCGCCCCAGCACCTATCTTTGGCTGTATCCGAGTTGGTTGCTTTGTAATACAAAGCGGGGGAAACCCTTTTTCGTAAATCACTAATGGAGATAATGGATAATACTGAATTTCACAACCGTAAGACCAGGACTTGTCTGAATCCAAAAAACTTTAAAGCTTGAATATCAAATTGTTTTATTGTTAGAATTTCTAAATTCTGGACCTCCGCTTAATCTGAATATAATCTAGACTGCATTTAATCTGAATAATACTGCAGGTACTCCATTTTTTTAGAGATTGCAGTCCATTTTTGTAGAGTGCACTCCATTTTTGTAAAGATTGCAGTCCATTTTTGTAGATATTGTACTCCATTTTTGTAAAGATTGCACTCCATTTATGCTTGGTTCAGTTAACATGTTGATTTGTTGGAGTACTGATGGCTGGCAAAACGGAAAAAAATTATATGAGATCAGGACGCAAAACTCTGTCAGACGATTAGAGGCAACTCCAGACCCTTTTTTTTTTGGTCTCATTGCCACCATTTTGATGCTGCTTGAATTGGTCAATAATACACAAGATTTTGGATATTGTCAACAACTCCCAGTGACAACTGTAATTCAGTAGTTTTCTCAAATTTTTGCAGTATGTAGAGTTGTAGACTCTATTTAGAAATTCAGAGATAATGAAAAGATCAAGCTGAGATTAATATAGTACTCCATTGAACACGTACACTTCATTCAACACAGTGATTATGAGAACATAGCAACACACTTCATTGAAAAGATCAAGGAAACAAGCTGAGATTAATACCAGAACATGCCAATCATTGATGCTTATTTTTTGTTTTTCTCTCCGTAGGAGCAGATTTGCTCCCCATCTTCATTCTACATACAGGAGAAGGATTGCCAATTCAGGCTTGCAGATGGATTGCCCTGCGGCTGCTCCTGTTGTGATGTGCAGAACTGGTGGCTTGCAGGTGTGATTTGCTCCTGATCTTTATCCACAGCAGAGTGTTGCTCCTCTGAATTTGTTGCTGCTCTGAATTAACAGGGCGGCGGACCTCGTGCTCATCGATTGGGGCGGACGGCGGGGGAAGATGTTGAAATGGCGGACCTTGTGCTCTCGACGGGCGAGGGATCCGCGGTGGCGCAGGTGCAGGTGGGCGGCGCCGCGGTGGCTGGTCGCGCCGGTGGGCGGTGGAGTCGCGTAGCTGGGCGCCGGCTGGTCCTGGCGGATCGAAGACCAAGTTGCCTCCGTGGTCACGGCGGAGGCCGGCAGCTGGTGGCGGGCGGGCGGCGGCTGGTGGTCGCGGGAGGGCGGCGGAATCCCACGGCGACGGGCACTGACGACGCGCGGGCGACGGACAGAGGAAGAAGAAGTGACCTGTTTGTTACTGTTTTTGACGGCCACTGACGAGTTTGTTACTGCACGCGCGACATTAATTTTCGGAGAGAGGGAGTATATAAATATATTACAAAATCATTGACTCACATATACCGTTGATTACAGTTCCAAGTTCCAACAGCCAACCCGACTACTCCCTCCGTTCCGAATTACTTGTCTTAGATTTGTCTAGATACGGATGTATCTGGCACTAAAATGAGTCTATCCGTATCTAGACAAATCCAAGACAAGTAATTTAGAACGGAGGGAGTATCTACTAAAAATTATTAAGATTTAACTAGAGTTTTAAGTTCTGGATACATATTACTCTCTTAGCATCTTCTGTGCTCGTTGATAAAGCATACCGTCAAGAACCAATCTTCCCAAGCCAGATGAATCAGCCGGAAACATTTTTGTTATCCCATATCAGCTTAGCATCCAACTTCAGTTTGGTGGAACACCATGAGTGGCTAGGCAAACATCTCGTAAGAATTTTGCACTTTTTTTTGGTGAAATAATAATGCATGAGTAGATGCTGCAATCAGCTAGAACATGGTTGCAGAAGTCTGCAAGATTACCAGCCTGCAAATGAGCAAGAACAAAAAAACATATTAAAAAAATTCAATAAAACCTACATATTTATGTGGCGTCGAAGGTAATTTATCTGCAACAAAATCATAGCACAATGTTCAACTAAGAAGACATGATGTAAAAGTCTAAATCCTCAATTGTCATACCTCGTGTCTCCACATATTTGGACATCTAGTAAATCCATGTGTGGACATCAATGCCTTCCTTATGAAGTCGCTGGTGCTGTTCTTGAAGCCCTGGCACCCAACGTCTGGCAATCTGTTCCATATCCTCAGCCAACCACAAGTGCTGCAAATTGCCGAATCCATTAACACGCTCTAACTTTGGGCAAGCCTGTGCACGCAGCTCCCTCACCTGTGGAAAATTCAATACCCTCTCCAGACCCTCACAGCCCATGATTTGAAGGGTCTCAGTGAGGAACAAAAGGCCATCTACCACCTTCAAGCAGCTTGTTCCTTCTAATTTGAGCTTCTTCAAACTAGTTGCCTCCTTTCCAAGCTGCCACGGGAGGGCTCTCAGCTTGGGGCAGCCAAGGAGTCTCAACTCCTTCAAATGCGGCAGCAGCTGCAGAAATGAAGACACGCCTTCCCGATTTTGTATATCAACACCTCCATCCTCTTCCCCTCCTATCCCTGCTGTTGCATCATTTTCTCTGTCTTCAACAAAGCACCACTCTTCCCAGTTGGGCATATCTATTATGTCCAATATTTCAAGCTTGGGGAAAGCAACTACCCCCAAAGATCCGGGACTAGTCTCCCTGCAACCAAGAAATTCAGGCCCAATCTTGTTTATTGCTGCTGCCCCCACAATTTTCAGATATTTCAGATTGGGTAGCTGCCCCATTGGTGGAAGATGCACGCATGATTTACATTTTGTGAGGTACAGTTGTTTCACTGAGGACAAATGGGAAGTACCAAGCCAGGCGGGAAACCTCTGACCAAAGAATCCTGTGATGTATAGGTCTTCAAGGTTTTGGGGAGGGATTAACCGAGCAAAGATCATCTCAATATTGCTAATTTCTTCTTCTGAATATTCTTCAGTTCGTTCAGTGCATTCTAGATTCAAAACTCTGAGATGCCTTTTGTCTTTTAGTATTTCACTGGTAGTGGTACTAGAGGGAGCTGCTCTTTCCAATTTAATCATATGAAGCTGCCGCATCTGCAAAAGTAGAGCCAACTCTTCCAAGTTCCAGCCATCTTGTGTTTTTGTATTATCATTTCCATTGCCAATGGGAAATCCTTCCAAATCATTAAGAAATTTTAATTTGGCTATCCCATTGGGAACCTGATCTATTGCTGTACCTCCAAGACCAAGGCGTCTTAAATTGCACAGCCGAGTGATTTCCATAGGAATGTTGTGCAAAGCATTACACCTCTGCAAATTTAGTATTTGCAGGTTTATGAGAAAACCTATGGTCTTTGGAAGATAAGTTATGATTGTCCCATCAAGATCAAGTAATCGTAGATGTATCAAACTTCCAATGCAATCTGGAATACTTTCTACAGATGAATCCGTCAGATCCAAAACTCGGATGGATGGAAGTCTCCTGAATATTGTATTTGCAATTCTTGGTGTCTCGCGAGAGCGAATCATCAATGTCCTTGCTCTAATAATATGCTCCCGACCCACATTGGAGAGCATTACAGAATCCTTGTCAGTAAAAGCTGAAATGCGTCGTCGGTTGGACAAATCTTTAGCCTCCAATGACTGTAGGTCTCCAAAAAATATTTCTCTACCTGATAAATGTTGAGCAAGTTGCCTTAAAAGGTCATGTATTTTGCTCCACCTATGGTCATAAAATCTAGTGTCTGGTTGAAGGAGATTCCTGTGTATCAACTCATAGTAATATTCTTCAGCTGTATCTTCCAGAAGTTGGTCTTTCCGTTTTTCTATGAAACCTTCAGCGACCCAAAACCTTACAAGATCGTCACGTAACATAAACTGATCTTCTGGATATAAGGCACAATACAGGAAACATTGCTTCAGATATTGTGGCAGATCATCATAACTCAAATACAAAGCACCACTTAGCTCTGTAGGAACATTGCTCACATACCAAGCACTTCTGTCTATAAGCTTTTCCCACTCGTTTTCAGTTTTCTCTTTTGTTGCTAGAACACTAGCAGTAACCTTGATAGCAAGAGGAATTCCACCACATTTCCTGACTATACGCAGCCCAATATCATGCAGATTATGGGGCACATCTCTTTCTTCAGTGCTAATACTCTTCCAGAGCAGCTCCAATCCCACGTCTACGGGCATCAACTCAACACGGTGCACATCTTTCACCCCAATTACCCGTGTAACTATATCATCTCTAGTAGTTACTAGAACCACCCCAGTAGCAGCAGCATCCAATGGGATTCTCAGTAGATTAGTCCACACCTCAGTCTGCCAAACATCATCCAACACAAGGAAGAAACTTTCCTCTTGAATGGCTGCTTTGAGCTTGCTACTAAGCTCCCCCTCATTTTCATCTGTGTCATAACGAACTCCGATACTTCTTAGCACCTCTTTCATAAGAATAACTTCATTATAATCTCGTGAAACACAAATCCACATGTGTTTCTTGAAGTTCCCCTTTATTCTTTCATCGTTGAATATTTTCTGAGCTAGTGTTGTCTTGCCAACTCCTCCAGTTCCAACAATTGCAAGTTTGTATAACTTATTTTCCTTGTTTGCAAGCACCAACTCCACCAACTTCCTACTAGAATGTTTGATCTCCTCCCCAACAAGGTTAGGCTCAACAAGGTTGGAACTCTTTCTTGATCTAGATATTGCTCTTTGACCAACAGGTGCCACATCGGAACGTGTTAGAAAACTTTGACCCAGCTTCGAGATATTCTCTATTCTGGTGTTGACCTTTCTGATTTTAGCAGCAATGTCATGACGCTTCAGAATATCAGTAAAGCAAGATAAGAATGAAATGCCACTACATGCAGGTGTGTTTCTTGATGATGAAGGAATATCTTTAAGTAGCTTCCTTCCTTCAATTAGGTCGAAAATATCATCAGCCTCATCGATTGCATCCCGTAGCTCACCATGCCAGTTGTTAACTGCTAAATCTTCCATTCTCCTTTGCTCGGCATCCTGAAGATAGTATTGTATATGATGTATTGTTTGGTGTAGAATATCAAGATCGTCTCTTGCCCCTAGAATCATAATTGTCTTATCTGCTATGATATCTATCAACCTATTGACACATGATCCAACGAGAGGAGTTAATACAACTGCCATCAGACGAACTTGATGAGGGAGATCCACCAAAAGTACCAAGCAAATTATTTGGGAGAATGGCAAACTTGCAGGATGACAGAAACGACCTGTTTCAAGAGGTTTAAAAAGTTAACAAGGTTAATCAAGTTTATATTCTAGTAAACATGGTCATAAGATATGGCCGCTTATTTGACATTTATATTTTCAATAACTTCAGTCTTCAGATACTAAATATAGGAAACTGCAACAATTTGCAAAGCATGAATGTAACATTTTAGTAGATGTCCAAAGCGACATGGATTTTTGGGACATGGTTCCGCGCGAGGATCATATCTGGACCATTAGTTTTGCCTTTGAGATCTGTGATTAATATAGCATTTAATAAATACGAGATATATACATCATGGATATACAACAGATACCAAAATGAATACATTATAGTGGGCCAGGACACTTTAGTGCTAACAAATGCGTCGCAGGCAACTCTGTCACATTTCCACCTACCACTCTCAGTCTCATGCGTCTCTCTCTCCCGTAGTCGTCACATGTAAACTGTACTGATGTGTTCGTGAGCGTGTGGCTGATTCATTATGAGACGTTTAAGGAAACAAAACAGTAACAGAAGCAGCTAACCATCATACATTATGTGCGAACTATTACATTTGGCAACAGTTAAGATAAACTGGAGGTAGCTGGTATATTTCATGGGACATATTATGTTTAGTACGGGCAACTTAATTAGTGCACTACAATTTAAAATGGATTAGTATATTGTTGAGTAACGTGATTGTATTAGGAAACATAGGTTAGACTAGGAAATATTCCGGCTTGCCTTGTACTCCAAGTAGATCATGTACTCCTATATATATGCCCATGAGGCTCAAGCAATGAACAACTATTCCACCAAATCCCTCTCTCCCTTTTAACATGGTATCTATCGCAAGTCGATCCTAAACCCTAGCCGCCACCGCTTCCGCACCTGCGCGCCGCCCCCGGGGCGGTCGGTCTCCTTGACCGCCGCCGGGGGCTGCGCCGCCCGTACCTAGGGTTCGTCCGCCGGTCGTGTTGACCGGCTGCCCTAGAGAGTCTTTTTCCCGATCCTTTGATCCGGGTTTTCTCTCTCGCCGGTCGCTTTGATCGGCGTCTACTTTTTGGTTTTCCGGTCTTTGTGATCCGGTTTGCGTCGCCCACCGCCGCCGTCGACCCCGTGCGCCTCTACTCCGACTTCGGCATCGACTACACCGGCGTCTTCACCGACCTGGCGGCCTCACGCGTCGTCCACGCGTCTACCCGCCGGTCGCCCCGACCCGGCGGCCTCGCATCACGCGGCGGCCCTTCACCGCCGCCGTTCGCGCGACGGCCCGCCCGTCGATCTACGCCGGCCGTCACCGCCTGCTCCGACCGGGACTCCTGCATCACCCCGACCCGGCGGCCTCGCGCCATGCGGCGGCCAATCATAGCCGCCCTGCCGCCCGCCGCCGCCGGCTTCATCTCGGACTCCGCCGCCACCACGCCTTCACCGAGCGGTGTCCCCGACCTCGCGCGCGATCGGCTTGATCACCCGCTCGCCGCCGCTATCAGCCTCATCTACGCCGCGCGACCGACCTGGCCCGTCGGTTACGCGCGCCTTCGCAGGTCCCGTGAAGATCGTCTCCGAGTTCAGCGCGCCCCTCCGTCGATCGAGCAACGGGCTGCCGCTGCGTCGCCCCGTCGGACCGCAGCGCCGCCGCCCCGTGGTTCTCCTCCCGGCTGCACCGACCCGCGTCACCGCTGTGTCGCCCCTTCGGGCCGCAGTGCCGCGGCCCGGGGTCTACCGCCGCCCCGAGGTCGTCCATTCCAGGCCGTCCCCGTGGCTGCACCGACCCTCGCGCCGCCGCTGCGTCGCCCCGTCGGGCCGTAGCGAGCGTGGCACGCGGTCCACGCCGCCGTCTCGAGGCCGTCCACGCGGTTGCACCACCCCGCGCTCCGCCGCTGTGCCGCCCCTTCGGGCTATAGCACCGCGGCCCGCGGTCCCTGCGACCGTCCCGAGGTCTTCCGTCGTCACCCCGACCTGCCCGCCGCCGCCGCGTCGCCCCTTCGGGCCGTAGCGCCGCGGCCCGCGGTCCACCGCCGTCACCGCGCGTCGACCTCCCGTGGTATGCGCCGCGCCGTCTCCCATGGCGCAGGAACGCCACTGTCCGCGCCGGTCTTCGTCACGCTGTCAGGGTTCTTCGCCTACTTCGAGCACCGCCGCCGCACTGCTAACCTAGCCGCCGCTGCCGCTCTTCTTTGGCCGCCGCCGCCGCTACCTTCGTAGCCGCCGCCGCCGCCCGTCCACCCCCTTCGTCTTCGTCCAACACCAGCGCGTCACCAGCGTCGCCGTCATCTACCCCGACCACTTCATCTACTCCGACAACCGCGGGCGATATTGGCCCCGCGCCGATTGGCGCCGCAACCGCGGTCGAGTCCTTCTTTGCTGGCCTCTCCGACTTCTTCGACATGGCGTACAACTTGTGCAGGTCCCAGTCTATGCATGCCCGGTGCTGGAAACACCGCCGCGTGCCTTCGTCCACGACGTGTCCCCGGGCCTGGCAAGCCTGGCGCGGCGCTTCGTCAACTTCGTCTTCGTCCGTCTACGCATGCCCGGTGCTGGCAACACCGGTGCGTGCCTTCGTCCGCGATGTGTCCCCGGGCTTGGCACACCCGCCGCGACGCGTCATCTACTTCCTGGCGCACCACTACTTCGACACCACTGCGCCCATGCTAACTCGGCGCCCCCTTGCGCCCGCGGCTCCACGGCGACTTCCTCGACACCGGCTACCCCGACTCGACATCGACCACGGCATTCTTCGCACGGCTACCTCGACCACGGCTCCACCACACACGCTCTCGGCTACATCGACAAACGGCACAAAGGGCTACCGCCTGCTTGAGCAACCTCGTTGGTTTCCACTCCAGCCACGACTCCGCGATGCGTCGACCGTTACGACTGTGGGGGGGTGTCCGTCGGCTTGCCTTCGGATTCTTCTCCAGTCTCACCGTCTGCATCGCTACCGTTGTGACTGCGGGGGGATGTTGAGTAACGTGATTGTATTAGGAAACATAGGTTAGACTAGGAAATATTCCGGCTTGCCTTGTACTCCAAGTAGATCATGTACTCCTATATATATGCCCATGAGGCTCAAGCAATAAACAACTATTCCACCAAATCCCTCTCTCCCTTTTAACATATATATTTTTATTACTTCTCTAGCCTAGCTAGGATCCTCGGACAGAACAACATCTCCAAATCGTCAGTACTACTCCCATTCTCAATGGTTTACTCTCACACATGGCGGCTCGAGATTAGGAATTTTGCTAAAGAAACACAATACAGCTGCATTCAGATCTTCCATATCTGGGTGCTAGAGGAGCTGGTGAACTGCTGTGAGACACTGAGCCATTGGTAGAAGGAGACTTCCCC